GGGCCGGGGGCTGGGGCTGGGGCTGGCAAGGAGGCCCAGCCAGGGCAGGGGTCCGTGCTGGGGGAACTGGCCGGTACAGGGGTGCGCGATCCCTCCCAGCTGCCCTGGCCCCTTCCTGCATTGGCCTCTGCAGGATGCGGCCGCCCCCGTGGGGTCGCGATCCCTTGGCCTCTGGGCATGCGGGTTGCGCTGGGGCTCCCCAGCGTTGCTGTGTCCCGGCTGGCCGTGCCGTCCTGGGGTGCGGAGAGGAGCCGGCTGGATGGCGGCGGGGGGCGGCAGGCAGCGCTGCGCACTTGGCTTCTTGCTCTTCCCAGGTGTTTCACCGAAAACTGGGGAGTTTGGTGCAGGAAGGCGGCGGGGGCTTTACTGTTCCTCAGCTCGAACTGAGGCCATTGCTGCCCAGCCTTGAGCCTCTTGTCGCTGTCCTCGCCCCCTCATCTCTGCTGCACACTGCTGGACACGCTCCTTTGTCACAGGGTTACGCTGCAAACCTCTTTGCCCTTGTTGTTACATGTCTGCCCTGGCTGGCGTCACTGGTAGTGTTGCATTTCCCTCCATCTCCTCAGTACCAGGGTTTCCTCTGGGTTTGTGCCTTTTGCTTTCCCAGCACATCCCGATGCGCATCAGTGCTAGGTCTCTGCAATTGTCACCGTTTTTCCTCCTCGCTGCAGAGCAGAAAACTGTTCTCTCGGTCTCTTTATCTCCGGCCACTTCAGCCTAATTCTTCCACCGACTTCTAGCTGCTGTCCTTGTGCCCAGAGCTGCTATCAAACACTTTCCCCTGCTTGATGATCAGTCATTTCACCCTGCTGATCCCCTTTGTTCTGCGGAGCTGTGAAGCACAGGCTTTATTTCAGTTCGGCTTGCTTTTGTGCAGGGGTGCCATTGTCAGCTGCTAATCAGGAGCCTGTCTGCTCCTGTGTGCTGGTGGGTGTGAAAGGAAAGCTCCATGCAGCCATCAACAGCTTTTGATGTCTGTGTACTAAGCCAGGAGCAGGTTGCTGTACCTTCCCTGTGGAGACTGCCGCCTCTGCAGAGAGCTCCTGCCTGGCATTAATGGATTTGCTGAACTTGGAAGTATTGCCGATCGGGTTGTTTCAATTCCAGTGATTTCAGTCTGCCTCCTTCAGGCCCCTGTAGTTCCAGCTGGAGGAGGGGTTCTTCCTCACCTGTCCTGTGCTGGCTGGTGACGGTGTTAAGCAGCTGTTGGACTGTAGCTTCAAGCAACTACCTGTCAGTCTGGACAGGTGACACCTGCACGTGCCCCTGGATTATGAGCTTGGGCCATTTGCACCAGCTGTAAAGGGAATGCTGGACAGAAAGAGCACTGGTCCTGGCCAGATGGAAAGGGGATGAGGAGGTAACCCACCTCCATGCCACCAGCCTCCCTGCCCACTCTGCTGGATGGGACCCTGGGGAGAAGATGTGATTGTTTGCTTTCTCTGCTTCAGGGCCTCTTGGGAGTTTCCCACCGAAAACGAGTATGTCCGACGCTTGAACTTTTTTGTCAGGTAATGGCTGGGTGTGCGAGTCACTGGTCTCTGCTGAAGGTCCCATGTTGACCTCAGCTGTTTACTGTGGGCTCGCAGCCAGAAGTCATTTGTGAGCATGGATTTAAGGCTTGGATTTTGGCCCTGATGCGATCCATCTGCCTTGTTCCCTTCAGTCAGTGCTTGTGTACTTGGAAAGCATCTGATGTGGCCATTTTGAAGGTTGTGAGGAGCAGAAACAGACACCCATCCTGCTTGCCACCGGCCTCTTTCTAATAGGGTTCATCTGTGCTGCTGCCTGGGACTCAGCCCCTGTTGTGTTGGCACTGTGCAGAGCTTTGCAGCTCCCTGCATGGCTCTGCAGAAGAGAAGCGTTCACACCTCTGGAATTGGAGAGGAGAGAGGAAAGAGTTCTTTGCAGTCACAACTGCTTGGGCACGGGAGCCAGAGGATGTTGCTGCCAGGGCAGGCTCTCATAGCCACTGTCCAGAGAAGGCACAGTCTCCATCTCCGTCCAGGGTTTGACTTCAGTGACTGCCCCCGCAGCAAGGGCCAGGGTCTGAATGGTCTGGGCCATTCCATTCGTCTGGCCTCTCTGCATCTGTGTTGGGCTCAGGGAGGTGAAGTGACCTCCCCAAGCCTAGCCTTAAGTCCATGTAAAGAGCAGAGGTCTGATCCCAGCCCAGCCAAGTCCCCACCCAGTACCTGCCCTACAGCTTGGATAGGCCTGTCTGCAGTGCCTGCTCCCTGTCCAGACTCCAGCTAAGCAGCCCCTCTGTCCATTCAAACCAGAGGGCAAGATCCATTGCACTTTGAGCTGGCCAAGATCAGCTGCCATTGGAGTGTTGCTGGGATGAGGAGTGTTTCCCAGCAGATACCCAAGCAGCCCAGCCATCAAAGCCACACTGGTGCACAATGAGCATGGGCATGTGAACATCCTGGGAGTGCTAACAGCTTCCCCATTGATGCCCCAGAATCCAGCTGTTATCTAACAGCATGGATTAACCCCTCCAGAGCCAGGGTGCCCGGCCAGCCAGGCTGCAGTCTTGCCGCCAGAGTCAGAACCAGAGGGCCCCAGTGCTCTGAACAGCAGCCTGTCGTACATGAACCCCTTCCTGGTTTGAACATGCCCTAAGGAAGTTGTATTGTTTGATGAGCTGATGGGGAACGGCATGGCCTGGGTCCGCAGGGCAAATGCAGCTTCTTTGGCACCAGTCCTGAGTGGGCTGCAACTTGCCCGTGGCTGGCGTGAACCCTGGCAGTGATGCATGGGACAAGCCCTGGGCTGTTACATTCCAGTCGGGTCACCGCAGGGCAGGGGCAGGCTGGAGGGAGGGGATTTCCCAGCAGAAGTCCCTGGAGCCTCTTCCTCTTGCTGTGGAGCAGGGTGAGGTCTCCAGGATAGGCATCTGGACATCCCACCCTGATCTGCAAATACAACAGGCCACCTGTTTTAGTGACGTGTGGCCCAACCTTTCTGCTGTCGCAGCCTGTCCTCCCCACCCACTTAGCACGGCCTGAGTTCTGAGCCTCAGCCCAGGTGATGGCATCTCCCATAGGAGCAAGGACAAGACCTAAGCAGGTGGTTTGGGGAAGGGCTGTGAGAGGGAGCCGTGGGCTTCTCCTCCCGCCGTGGGCAGGTTGGCAGCACAGTGCCTCCAGCTACAGGCTCTGCTGTCTCGGCACCGGCTCAGAGCCCAGCACACGTGCCCTGCGTTCTCCGCTCCTCCGCAGGGAGCTGCTGTTTACGAAACTGCTCACAGCGTGGCTGGCTTGGCAACGACTTCCGTCTTCAGCCTGCCCGTCAGCTGGAAGAGCCGGCTAGAGCCAGCCTGCCCTGGCCTGTGGCATGCCTGGGGCTCCTTTGGTTAGAGGAGGAAGACCATGTGCGGGGAGGGCTTTCCTTACTCGCTCTGCTCAGGCTGGGGCAGCCTGGCCGGAGCTGCGAGGCTGCGCGGGGATTGGCCGAGCAGCGGGATTTTCCAGATGCATTTACATATCGCCCACTGCTCCGCATGCCTTTCTGTTTACCTCACCCTGCACACACGCGCGCGTGCGCGCATGCACACACTCACAGACGCGCACACGCATGCAGCCAGGGCAACAGACATTTTGAATGAGGGAAAGGCTGCCCCAGTCGCAGGCTTCGCATCTCCGGTCCAGCTCAGCCGGGGGTGAGTCCCACGCCAGGTCAGTGCCTCGCCTGGTGCAGTGAGCAACAAGTGCGCTGGCAGGGGAGGAGGCAGGTGGGCTGGAGCGAAGGGCACCTTGCATGTTTTCAGAGCCATACGCAGGGCTTAGCAAGGATCTGAGCTCCTCGTCTGGTCTGGGACCAGCTCCCTGTCACCTGCAGCTAATGGGGATGCATTAGCCGACGTAACAACTCCCCCACGCCAAGGTTTTATACAGCTATAAAAGCCCTTTCTTGTGCAGCCCCCCCAGGGGCTTTGCTGTGGAGAAGCACTTTTAAGATGAGCTGATGTCTCCTTAATGCTTTGGTGGTGGTTTGAAAATGCACGATGCCGGATGCTACGAGGAAGAGACTGTAATTGTTCACTGGGTTGGGGCTGTGGGTTTGGACCGGAGTCTGTCATGGGGTTCGGAGATTCCCATTGTCACGACTCAGAAGCACAGGGCTGTTTAGAAGTGTCGGGGTGCCCAGCATTTCCAGGCTTTGTGAATATCTTTTATAGCCAGAGCAGCCCCCACAAGCGTCTAGAAAGCACAAGAGCTCCTTCCCTTGTTCTGATTTGAGTTAGCAGCCTGCCTGGCAGTAAACATTAGCCAGGTTGCATTGCATTTGGCTGCTTTACACAGCAAAGTTCACGGGGACTGTGCTAGCAGGGGCAGATGGTGGAAACACACCAGAATCTTTGCTTTGCTTTGCTTTGCTTTTGTGAAAAAGCTGGCATGTGCCAATAGATCTGTAAAGAAACCTCAGTGCGCACGGCAAAGCAGGTTATCACGTTTCAAAGCAGTGTAGAGCAAAAGCCCCTGACAGTGCGTGTTTGAAGCGTGGCTGTGGCTGCCTTTCCTTCCTCTCCTCCAGAATAATCCTGGTGTGCTCTTGCTGAAATCTCTGGATTCTCATGGGGAAATGCAGCCATCTCTAGGGTAGAACGGAGCAGCTCTCTGGAGATGTTTGCAGCCATTTGGGACAGGAGACAGAGGAGAAATATTCCTCCAGCTGAACCGGCAGGTGGTTTAGGGAAGGAGCATGCAATGTGCCACTCCACATCCAGGTTTTTCCAGGTGCCACACAGTGCTGACCATGAGCCCTTTGGTGACCGCTGTTGAACCATATCGTTGAGTGCCTTCCCTGGTCTTTAAACCCTTCACAGTCCAAATGGAAGGTGGCTTTTGACTCCACAGCGAGTCAAACTCACAGGCTGGGACCAAGCAGGGGTGCAGGAGTTTAGCTTGCCACAGGTGAGTTCCTCTGCTCTGAAGAGCTGAGATGTCTGGTCTGAGTGGGAGGCCGGGAGCTGGGGCAGGGGGTCCTGGGTCTGTCTCTGTCGAGTGGGTTCCTGTGCTTGCTAGCTCTGGTCCTGAGCTGCTCAGTTGGTTTTGAAGTCCTGCAAAGCAGAAGGAGTTGTGCGCCACGCCACCAAGGCTGAGGTTTGGATGAATTTCCTCACCCCGCAGGCCCTGTTTCCCCTGCCTGTGCCTTGGTTTCCCTATCTGTGAAATGGGGAGAATAGTTGTTGCCTGCCTTGCCAAGGTGATTTTGAGCAGAGTGGTGAAGGTGGGAAACGTTGCCTGCGCAGTCTGCATTGTTCTCAGGTAAATGGCTAAGCCTAGGCTGCGCTCAGCTGTGCATTTTTCTAGAGCTCTTAGAAATGGCTTCCATAGATGTAGTGTTGGGGGAAGCTCTGGAGCCTCGAGTCCTTTGCCCATGGAAATGGTGGTTGTCCAGATCACCACTAAACATCCATTGCCCCACCACTCAGCCCTGACCACATGGTTAGACCCCGTGGGACAACCGAGCAAGAGGGTGCAGTCGGTGCCAGCAGTGCAGTGGCTTGTGCGGACCACTCAGTGCTGTTTGACTTCCTTCTCTCGCCATCCCAGCCCCGTCCGGACACCCTCCCTGCCCCTGGGGTTGGGCTCGGCGACTCTTGCTACGTGACACGATGCACCCTTCTCCCCCACCACGGACTGCAGGTGGGTCTAGGACGTGACGGGGCGCGCACAAGCACAGATGTGAGTCACAGGAGGGGTGAGTTGGAGGACCAAGTGTTCCAAGGAGCCTGTGCCTGTGCGGCGGGATCCCGAGGAATTGGGGAACATGTTTCCTCTGACCAGTTCGGGTCAGGACTAAGCAGGTGCCAAATTCTTCCCACTCTGGCTGTCATGGGCCTTTCTCAAGTCCAGCCCTGTGAGCTTCCTGCACTGGCCACCTTCCTTCGGTAGGTGCCCCTCCAAGGCAGCAAGGCACCTTGAAACCTGGCTTCTGCTTTCCCTGTGGCAGAACACTTTAACGTGGCTGAGGGGGGACCTGGTGACTGTCTATAGACTCACTAGGGGGGACCAGAAGGGTTTGGGGGAGACGCTGTTTCCCCTAGCGCCCGCTGGCATAACAAGGAGTAATGGGCACAAGCTGATGGAGAGGAGGTATAGATTGGACATCCGCAA